CAAACCCCTTCTGAGTGCTCATAATGCCGAGGTAGAGGTGACGTTGAGGCAAGAGGCGCTACTGTCACTTGCGCTATCGTTGGATCGGATATTGCTCTGGCTCAACCGAGCCCTTTGGCCCCGACGAGCAAGCAAATTTGGTCAAAAAGAAGGTTTACGATTTCTGCACTGGTTTACCTCGCTAGCTATTGTACAGGGCCAATGCGCGTCCAAGCGCATAGACGATTCTGTGGGTATGACGAGCGCATGGCGCATTCCAAAAGCCTGGTAAGTGTTATAGCAACCCTGCCGCCAACCCTTCTCCCTACCGGTTAATGGAGGCCAAGTTAGAGACGAATGCGATGCATTTAGGTCTACCTAAGCGGTTTTTACACTATGAGAAGGACGATGATGAAGTAAATCACACCGAGGAACTGACAGATCTCGTCGTTACTGACTCCATTAAGATTTCTCGGGACATTCTCATGAACGAATTTTTTGAAAACACGCCAGAACTGTCGACAGACAACAAGGCGGCCGTGTGTGTCCTTGCGCTAAATTTGAACTAAAAGGGCCATTTATCCCATTACCGTAATCCTTTCGAGATGGCGCTGAACCGATTTCTAATTTGATTCGCAGCAACACATCACTGTCACGCTATGTTTGGAGGTATTCGAAAAAAATCTCTATTGTTTGGTGTGGAAGAGGTCAAGATGATCGAAGATAGCGGGCGAGTTAGTGACTGCGCCCTGCATTTTGCTCCCACTAAAAATCGCAGGGGAATGGAAAGCTCCAGGCGGGTTCATAACACAACTTCCGAGCATAGGTTGGGGGCCATTCCACCGCTTTGTGCCCCAAGCAGAAGGCTTAACCAGCAATATAGGTAACCTGGATAAAACAAATGAAGAATAAATTTGTCATATAAAAAAGGGATGGGGAATTCAAAGAGGTGCGATGTTAAGTGGCCTGTCTTTGTAAGATCCTTTCTCGTTCCTTCTGAGGAGGATGCAATGCTCAAAGCAACTTGAAGGATAAAAAGGATAGAGGGTAAAGCTTCTTGCCCTTTTTGGGATGCATTCTACTTCCATTTGTACATTCGTAGTGGCGTTTGAATGCGATGTGGCCTATACAATGACTTGCGGGGGCCAGCCGATGTACAAGTCAGTGTTTTTATCCTCCCAGACAAGTCTGGTACCAATTAACCGACCCCGGAGGGATGGAAGGCTTGGTTGGCCCGGGCGACTCACGACCCAGGATTTGATCCCCGGACCGTGGTAAGCGTGCCACTTGCCACTACACCACTTCTGCCCAAGCTACTTGAAGAAGACCCGTAATCTTGCTCAGGTCCTGTAACTGCAATTTATGTGGGTGAGAAGGCCAAACAATTTCCCTCGATACCTTTTCAGTTCGATTTCCTTTTCAAGTGGATTTATGACTGTCGAAAATGCTAAGAGCTTGTGGGTGAACTGTATTGGCTTAGGTAATCGTCGCCAATCAGTGCTTTCAATAAATCTTCTAAATAATCTAGAGAACAAAGATAGGATGATAAATTCCTTCAAAAACGCCGACTAATAGCCTCTCCCTCTTCATTCTGCACAGCGTGCCTCTTTTCCGGCTGCCGAGATCACGAGATTTTCGCGCTCACTTTCTTCTATCAGAAGCATGATAAATGCGAAAGTGCGCTTAGGAATCCGCGACCACATCCTTACAGTCATGGCCTGCCGAACTGTTGGCTGTTTGTCAAGCTGCATCAGAAACAGAAAATGAGCTTGAATGAGGGTTGAGAGAATGCGCCGTGCATTCCGTTTTTACGCGAATGTGGAAGTGGATGTGAATGGTCGGGGACGTTTTTGAAAGTTCCAAGGAGTCTTTTTAGTGATGTGAGGGTAAGCCGAACTTCTGGGCTCCTCAAAGCTTTGACTTGAATAAAAACCTGCGTCACCTGGAACTATAATCAAACTTGCTAGATTTCAAGTAGCGATCTAGCTATTTGACGCCCAGAGAAAGTATACAGCGTTTGGCGTTGACCGGTCCTCTCTTAGTATGCGCCATGATTCTGCTTCCATTTGACATTTGCAATGGCATTTGAATGCGATTTGCTCCATGGCTTATCACCTGTTTGTGAGACGGCGGCAGCCTTTTCTACGGAGAAATGCAAGATACCTTGCTGTTTGAATTCTAGCCCATGACGTAGCATCCGGGTTACACGTCATCAGTTGAACAGATTTGATACGGTGCTAAGCCCCCGACGCCAGCGCTGAGAACGATTTCAAAGATTTCTTGCCCTTGCGAAAATTTTCGGACTATTTAAAGCAGGCCCTCAACAATTGTTTTTGCGCAAGTGTTGTGAAGGACACCCTCCGTGACTAAGCTAAAGGCCAACATGAATTTCGGGAGTAATGAGAATGGTGCTGCAATCGACCAGCCTCCGTATCCGCCCAATGCTTGGTCCCGTATCTAGCAGAAAGGACATCTTTTACGGTACAATGGCACCACACTGCCCCCGTATCTTGCGGTAGCGCCCTTTTCGTGGCAGTGCCAAGAGCACCTGTTATCAGCTCTACGGTGCTTGAACCAGGGTCAACCCTACGTTGGGACAAGTATCCTCCCTCCCTCCGCTCGACGGTGTTTTTTGAGGGAAAAAGAAGTTGTGAAGAAGGGGTCGTATGAAATCTCTCATGAAGGAGGGGGGTCGTAAAAATTTTGAAAAAGTCCCAACGGTAGGGTTGACCCTGGCTTGGACTGAATCCAATCCTGGTCAAACAAACCTTCACTGCCCCTAAACAACTTTCCGATTGTTCACAGTGGCCGACCCATGCAATTTATTCTATGAGCCGAAAACGCAACCAAATACGACGCGATCCTGAATATCGACAAATGCATGGCGTATCCTCAGAAAGGCTCCATCCTCTCTCCTCTTCCCTGTTCATAAAGATATAAGACTCCCATGTAGGGGCTTACTTCTCTGATCCTGAAAAAAATGAAAATTTTGATTTCGGATGAAATTCCTATACGATATGCAGGATTCAGGAGATTTCTCATTTTTTCTACCCGAACCTGACCGTTTCCACATCAGCGCTGCGCGTTGACCAAACAAAACGATTTAACTAGTAAAAACTCAAACTCGTTAAAAGAATGGTAACGATGCGCGACGACTGTTTACTTCCCTCCGTCAAGGTCAACGACGTTCGCTCTGCAGCCGCACGACCACCGCTGCTGCTTGACCCTTTTTTGGTACGTCAAGGGGCTTGGCTACTCGCCCCGATTTTTCAAGGATTTCCTTGGGAGACAAAAAGTGCAGCGCTGCCTTGAACTTTCTACCCGTGCGATAAGCTGTTACGTAGAACCAAATGTATGTAAAGTGGATCGCAGAATCAAAGGTGATAGAATTCTGGGTGGTTGCAAATGAGTGGCGCACTCCTAGAAAGTAGATCGACGCCAGTTCCAAAGAAGACGGGTTTAATTCCGCCAGTGAACGAACTAGGCAGCTGATTTTAGGGTTAGACATCCGGTGAAAGGTGCTTTGCCTTTCTGTGCGGGGAAGACTCCATGGCCGTTAGCGCCAAGCGTAACCCTAGAATTAATTTGGAATTACTGAAAATTTAGGAACCACCCTCCCCCTATTTGAGGATTCCAAATTGTAGAATAGGAGGTGCTTCAGTCCTCACTTCTCCTGCTGTCGAAATGCAAACGCACAGTCAGTCTTCAATGAGCAGCTTCTTTTCTCTATGAAAGGCGCCAAGCAATATATGGTGGAAAGGGCTCCGTGAAAAATGAAGAAATTCCTCCTCCTTGATAGGACATGCATCCGTGGCCCAAACATATGGACGATGGCCCAATAGGCCGTCGCTCGGCAAATTGTGTTCATTTCAAAAGCCCGGCCAATCTTAAAATGAGAGCTTGATTTTAGGGTTTAGAATCCGGTGAGGACTGCAGCCACACAAGCGCTTTTCGGAGTGCGTGGGCGGACATCCAGAAAGCGCTTGTGTGGCTGCAGTCCTTCTAGGGCAGTTTTTCATTTTTTTGTTTCATTAGGACATCAACACATATAAGGGCTTAAAAATGTGGAAATAGTCTCAAACGCTTGAAATGGCGTGCTGTTTTGTAAACTGCCGGAGAGACGACCGTAAGATGATTTACGGCTTGATCAGGTTCATTAAATAAGAAATAAATCGGAGTTGGAACAAACTGAAACCGCCATCCTGTCCGGTAAAAAGTGTGACCGTATTTCCGCCAACGAACAAGTTGATCGTAAATGAATTGACAGTTCATCAAGGGAATGTTTGCCAAATGACCGTCCTTCCCGTTCGAATTGAAGAGAATTCTGCTACTCCGACCCGAAAGGGCAAAACACTTGAAGGATTTTGCTAATATTGCTCCCTTTCTGGATGCGCCGTGCGTACTAGTTTGGTTTAGAATCTTATTAGCAGCTGAATGCGGCTGCGCCTAAACAATGACCTGCGTGGCCAGCCGATGTGCAATTCAGTATTTTTACTCTCCCAAACAGGTCCGGTGCCAGTTACCGACCCTAGTCGGATGAAAAACTGTTCAGCATGACGATATTCGGGCCACCGAATATGAATCCCGGACCGCAGACATGGAAAGTGGCGCCATTGTAAACCACACACGTGCCCTAGCCGTCCCCAGCTCGAATTGTTACAATTTAAGGGAACCTTTCAAATAATATTGAGAAAATTGAAGGAATCGAGGGTTGGTAATAAATTGCCCAACAATCTGCCACCTCTCCCCTTTAGCCTGTTCTATCAATTATGAAGCAATTTGCTAACCTATCCCTCGAGTCAACGCAGCGATCTGTTTTTCGAAGATCGTCCCTCGAACACATTTTGACTCAATGACCCCTGAAGTTTTAGCTGGCGCTGAGCTTTGCACGGCGTTTTCTTCACAGTAAACGGATGTTATTTCTCTGGATTGATCGATAAGATTAAACTGCTTTTTACCAAAATTCAGTTGTTTTTAGTTTCAAATCGGAGGAGCTTTCCCACTCCATGAGGATGACTGCAAGACGCTGCAACCGGAGACGGTACAGGAGATTGTCGTCATCCAGTGGGCTCTGACCCATTGGAATCAGAATCCCGCCAACCACAATGCCAAATTAGGTAAGTCAGTTTGGCACAAGTAGCGCCAAACTTCACCCTAGAAACTTATCTGAGCATTTTGCAGGACTATACGCAGGAGATACCTGTTCTCGAGCTCAGGAAGCGCTCTCACAATCGTTACGATTTCTCGACTCGGTCGGATATCACGAGCCGAAGGAATGTCGGACGGAAAACGCTGGAGCTAAGCTGCTCGGTTAGTGGACTTTTGGACTGGATTCATCAAGGTCACATGCATGGGCCGTGTTCCAACGGCGGTCGACTGGCTTATCCCCAAGCGGTGGCTGGCATTAGAGACTGTTTAAGCCGACCAGACAGGTGGCGCAGCCCATATGTACGTAACTAATCGAAGCCGCTTCAGCGCTTCACTAGCCCGGGGAAAAACTCATAAACAGTGGCGACCCTCCGCGGAAGTCCCGGAGGGAAAACATCCAAGGTTCCACGAGGGGGATTAGCTCTCCCCAACCCTACAATTGAGCTATAGCAGTGATGCCGAGCACTCGCTGTTCCCCTTTCAGGTCTATCCGGGAAGTTCTCCACTTCAGGTTAGGCCCTCTTGGATGAGGACCTCTGATATACGCGTAAGAAGTCTAAGCTTAAGCCTGTACCTAGCCCTAGGCTTAAGCTTGAATCAATGTGTAAGCATAAATTAGCCCGATTGTAAAAGTAAGCTCAGGCTTCAATGATCGCGCAGCGACCGGTGACCTGACCTAGGAGGACAACAGTACTTCTTCCATCCGAATAAGGGTGTATATTTGGTGCCGCCTACAGTAATCCCAATCCTTGCAGAAGAAAGAAGCCCCAGAAACATAGCCCTTTCGCTTTCACATCCATCCTGGAGCTTACCTTCTCCACAAAAACGGGATTACCGATGGAGCCACAAACTGTTGCACCAAATGCACCCCCCCCCTTTATTCGGGTGACCCCTCCATTAGTTTAAGCCTACAAAGTATCAAAAAACATTCGGTAGCTTTTCTTCGGCGTTTTTCTCACTGAGAGGTTATTTCGCAGAAAGTTCCAGGAATTTGACCTTCTGAGGCGCAACGACCGTCACCACTTCAACGGCCGTTGTTTGACACTTGGCCGTTCACCTCACCACGAAAAAAAAAACGTCCGCTACGACTTGAACCTTCCTCGCTATTACTGTGAATCTCCTGTTAGAGCCACTTATAGTGAGCCGTCTCTATTCAATCGCGATCTCGGCCGAGGCGTCCGCTAGCCAAAACAGAGCGCCGAGAAAAAAAACTTGCTTTACTCGACCCAATTGTAGGAACACCCAGCAGGGAGCGCCGTCGTCTAGCTGCGCTCGAGATAAGTGGGGGAGAATCCCACAATGAAGCAGTTCTCTAAAACCAATTCACGGGCTGACTGAAGGGCACTTGAAAGCTTGCCCAAATTACAGGCTGCTGTGCTGAAGATGGATCGCAAAACCTGGCCAAAGCCGGCTAATCGACCTTTCCGGGCCAGTCGGGTATTTTGGAGACTTCGACTTTCCGAAAAAGCGGAGGAAGCAGGGGCTATCCTCCTCGTCAGGGGGATTGAACCTTCATTCTGCTCCTCTCGATCTCTAAGAATTGTTTGAGAGCCCTCAAAAAAGAGCCAAATGAGCGCTGGAGCACGGTCGGAAGCCAGAAAAACCATGTATTCTGAGAAAAAATGGACGTTCACTTCGTTTAGAGGGGGACATCGAATTGGGTAGGTCACTTGCAAAACTTGGGACCAAGCCTTAGGGAGGGAAAGGAAATCTGGGGAGAGACATGCGCAGCCTTTGTTCTCCCTAGCGTTTTCCCTCTCCTAAGATTAGTCCTCGTGTCACTTACCAGCAGTATCTTGATGCCGGTTTGCGCGTCTTCTCCTAGGAGCATTTTCGTCATTTGACATTCATCGACCGCAATTATCCGAGCTCGCAGAACCATTTTGCCGGCATCTTCGAGCTTTTCCAATCTGGCCGTACAGAGGCCTTTTACGAAGGATACTTTCTTTGGGGGGGGGGGGTGGCCTCTGGATGCTTCGTTGTTTCCCTATGTGGTACGCAGGTCATGTCGTCAGGAGTCGATTAGAAAGGGTAGAATGGATAAGACATTAGCCATTTGTACATTCGTAGTGGCGTTTGAATGCGATGTGGCCTATACAATGACTTGCGGGGGCCAGCCGATGTACAAGTCAGTGTTTTTATCCTCCCAGACAAGTCTGGTACCAATTAACCGACCCGGAGGGATGGAAGGCTTGGTTGGCCCGGGCGACTCACGACCCAGGATTTGATCCCCGGACCGCTCGCGTGGTAAGCGTGCCACTTGCCACTACACCACTTCCGCCCTCAAAGTATAAACAAATAATATGTAAATTCGAAGCCATAGACTAAATATACGAATCGAACTTGCTGGGCTGTTATCACCGATTGCCCTTTTTTCTGAGATTTCTGATCAACATTTCAAAGTGAAAGCGCTCGGCTCGCTGTCTGGCTCTTTTTGCCAGGTTGCAAGGGGAATTATGAATAGTCTATCTATCGGCGGACTCCTCATGACCGTTGCAGCTTGGGACCCCTCTGACAGATTGAGTAACATTAATTCTTGTTGGAAAGCCCAGGATGTAAATTCAGTTTGAACCATTTCCCCTTCTCCAACCCATCGTATCTTGATACGGGGAAAAACCTCTTCTGAACCGTCCGGTGCCCAACGAACGGCTTCGGATTAGTGCGACCACTCTGGCCAGTCGATATACAACTCAGTGTTTTTATTCTCCCAGGCCCATATGGCACCAATTAATCATCCCTGAAGGATGCAGAGACTAGGGTAGGGATATGGCCCACAAATTGAACTTTGAGCCAACGGTGATGATGAGGCTTGTCTCGGAACCTTCTTCGTTCAGAAGAAAGGGCGCTATTGCAGGAGGCGGGGACATGATGGCTATGCATTTCGAGCAGCATAAAATATCTCCTTTCTGTAAAAAATGAAACTAAGCCATGTGGAGAAGAAGAGGCTCCAGATTGCCCTTTTTAGGCTGTGCTAAGGCAATGAGAGACTAAACGTAGTAGGAGAGTATGAGGCGAGAGAGCGCTATAGATGAGAGGGCGCCAGACAACAGCCTGACAACGGCCGAAAATTTCAGCTGTAGCAGCTTAGGCCATGGCGCTCTTGTCGGGTGATTTCCGTGCACGGGATTGCCGTACTTTTTTAGTTCCCCGATGTTCCAGCCACTCCTGGGCTTTGTCCTAGAGGATGCTCCCGTATCTTGCGATAGCGCCGAAGACAGGTCGTTGGTAGATAATGGAAGAAAGGTTGCAAGGTGCTGCTTTTTCATCTGGTATCATTCTCTGTATCTCTCATTACCTGGTCTGGTTCGTTTCCACGGTGGAATGTGGTGAAGCGCGTCCTTTCTTAGGGAGCGCTGTTCATCGTCCACACTTTTAGACCAGCATCAGGTTCCATCGAGCTGTCACGGTTCAAATCGCTGGCGAACATCTCTACGTCCCCCAAGGTCTCCCCGCTAGAAACATGCGACACTAGGGGATCCTTATAAACAGTCTCAACTCGCTCGCCAAAAAGCGAACAAAAAACTCCAAAATATTCCTCGAAGTTCAAGAAGGGTTTGCATTGGACTATCAGCAACATCACCCATGTCCGCATCAGTTTTATGAAAGGACTATCAAGGCTTAGTGGAGGGAAAGAACTCTGAAATCCACCCGATCAAAATTCATTCTTATTTTGGCAAAACTCCCAGGAAAGCGGATACTATTGCAAGGAGAGTCATAATTTGGCCGAAAAACGCCATGGTAGCAAAAAACGCCAAAGCGTATGGTCACCTGTGACTATTCATTTCAGTTGAGGTGGTCTTATTTCATTCGCATATCCTTGAGGAATCCATTTTCGCGCACTCTTATCTTATTCGGAATAGAAGTGGGTTCAAATTTGGTGCCACACTTCGCTCGATACGACCCCGCCTTGAGGATAACCCTCACCGACATATCTGCACCACTACATTCGCTGTCACTGCCATATGGGGCTATTAGCTATAGTATTATGTTTGAGACCAGAGTGATAGCCGAACTCCGCCACTTTACATCCAAATTGCAGTCGAGCGGGCACGGGTATTAATCAATGAAAACCTCCCCTCCGCGTACTGTAGAATTAACGTACGTGAAATCGACCCGACCCCTAGTTGACTTTAAGACTTTGAGCATGGTGCGGAAGCTTTCTTCAGCTTGGTAGCGTCTGATCGAGAGGAATCGGCCATTCTTTTACAGCACGTTCGCCACTCATGTCGCTGAAGATTTCGTAGTACTACAAGGTTGTGACGGTGGCGTGAGTATATTTATTCACGTAACGAGACAGCTATGTGGGCGCCAGCATCTCAGTTGGACTCGATCCCAGAATTCTCTGGTTTTCATATCTATCTCGTTCTCTTTTCAATTTCTTACTTCATTGTAGTGTTAATGAGCAGGCGAAAGCAATTTTCGGTCAGAATGAGTTTAGGAAGCGCCCAGTACGAATTTGACTTTAGTCTTTGCGCAACACGTGCACTTTTATAGGCCCATAAAGCTCTTCAGTTTTCCGACAAGGGCGCTGGGAATGCGAACAATTTGAGTGGGACGATCTACTTCATTTCCGTCCAAACACCCGTAATTTTGTCACGAAAATCGTATAAAATGTTTTTTGGGAGATACTTAGGGGCTGGAACAGTTTCAGCGTTGACTATTGTAGCAATGCTTAATGCGAGCTGTGCGCAGATATTCAAGAGTCCAATGTTTGCGGCTTCATCAGCTTAAACTGGATGTCCCTTTGGAACACTATTATAAACTGTTAATGAACAGAAAATAGTTTACTAATAAACTGCTTAATGGATGCTGGCTGCTGGTCTCTATAGGTGGCGGCTGCATCGTATTCGATACCTTTTAAAAATTGATTTCATAAATCTCAAAATGTGCGAGCTCTCAAACTTGTCTGGTGAGATGCGGCTGTAAGGAAATGTAGTCCAGATACATTCAAAATAACAAATCAAAAAAATGCTGGTCGCAGATTCTAGTCTCAGACTGGCTTTCCAACATTAATAAGATGCCTGTAGGGAGTGGCCCTGATGATCACGCAAGAAATATGGTCGAACTGTCTTGATGGTACTGTATTAAGTGTCTATTATAAGGTGTGATAGCGCCCGAAGAGATTCACGAGTTCATCGTAGTCGTTGGGGCACGTTGTCTAACCGGG